ATACCAAATATTGCCATTCAAGCTCCACCATTTATGGTTGCACATTTCAATGAATTGCTGCAACTATTTCCCACTTTCTTAACAACAGAACTGAGGGGTGGTTTAAGACTTTTTCACAGTAGTGTAAGAAACATATCCAGAAATCCAGGCCAAAACTTCAACATTTCTTGATATTTCATTCACCATTTGAATAATGTGATTGGTTACAGTTATGTGTATGTGATTTAGTGCTGCAAGATGGTAGACATAGACAACATAGCACAATAGACATTCTATTACCAGAAGACTTCATGCACATACAATATATTTTACTTTCACATTTAGTTCTCGTTGGATGTCATTTTGAAAGGATTTCATCACTTTAAATTTTACTAAATAAAACTAAAAATAAGAAACCTATCAGCAGACACTTTTCTCAAACATAAATGGTTTATTATTCTAGCATTCCTTATTGACAATTCCTGATAGTGAATTTATAATGAATAAATTCTGATTTCAATCAGAAGCTGTTTGAAGAAAACAATTAAATTCTACATTTTGATCATCCCCACACATTCATATCAACAAAAGTATTTACATTTACTTTCAGTGGACAGAAAGTAAATGTAGTTCTTATTTAGTCTACTTATATTTTAAGTGATTTCACTAGCTGTTAAAGTTTTCTGTAGTAAAATAGCCTAAGATTTTTGAACACTGAGAATTACTGCCCTGTGAAAGTTCTTGCTGGATAGAAATCGCATCACTGTCACCTCATTCCTCAGAGGGATTCCACATAATTGGGCTATTTCTCCAGTAATTGCTGCAGTCCTCTTTGCCTGATAGCTCAGCTTTTGCCTGTCCTTCACTTGTTTTTTTTCCCTCTCTTTTTTGTCCTTATAACATATCAAACCTCTTTTTTTAAACAACTTCAGCCACATTACACATCTCCTGGGATGCAGCATTTATTACCACTGTGAATGCAATCCAAGCCGCCCCCCCTTCACTTAAACCCATCACCGAAGTGATAGAAAAAAAACCACATTTTCTCATCAGCTCCAGCTTTAGGCTCTCGCTTGCTGCATCCTCTGTCTTCAGTGTTCCAAAAAGAACTTTTCTTTATAAAGTATAGAACATAACAAATTTATTAGGCCGCCTGTCATGAAAACAGTAAGGCACAAATATTTAACAAAATCTATCAAAACCTTGTTTAAAACTAAAAATTCATGGATAAAAATGTCATTTTGATTAAAGAGCTCGCACCTACTGTTGGATTAAACATTACAGACATAACAGACTCCATCCATTCTCTTCCGCTTATCCTTGTCAGGGTTGTGGGGTACCTGGAGCCTATCCTAGTTTCTTAGGGCGAGAGGCAGGGTATGCCCTGGACAGGTTGCCAGTCTGTCGCAGGGCTAACACATAGAGAAAGCAACCATTGGCACCCACATTCAAACCTATGGGTAATTTAGAGTTACCAATTAACCTATCCCTACTAACTGCATGCCTTTGAAATGTGGGAGGAAGCATGTGTGCCTGAAAAAACCCCACGCAAACACAGGGAGAACATGCAAACTCCACAGATGATTTAGTTAATTACCAATATTGATATAAACCTTACATTGGGTGATGATTTAATAAACTCTTTAAGAACTATGTAAATTTTCAAAAGCTTATTTTGGCAAAGGTAAGAGTATAAGTGCTAGTCATTTATTCAATTCCACATTTATCCAGGAACAAAAACCACTGCAGCTGGATTCGGTGATCGTTTTTCATAACATGATTAAGATCATTTCTGTGCTGGAGCCCAGTGTGCTTCACATAGATGATCGTTTTCTGACAACGAAGAATGATGGCTGACATATCTGTCCTGTTGATACTCAACAGACTTTGGACCTGTGAGGACCTCTTGTTGAAAGTGTTTTTTGTCTGTCACACATATACATACCAGTCTTACCAGCCCAGAAACGATCAGTGACATTTATTACTGGCCATAAGGAAACCCGAAGCTTCTAACACTGTCATTTTCTCTGCCTCTCTATCATCCGCACCACCATCTCTCATCTCTCCTATGCTAGCGACAGTTATAGAATTTCATACCAAGAGGATTTGTGATGCTTACACCCGCTGGTTCTGTGCCTGTAAAATGATGTGCTGCGTTTCTCTTGCTTTTGCGCTCTCTTTCTCCCGCTCCCTCTCTTCCCTCTACCTCAAGGCGTTGGCTATGCTGCCAAAACTTGTATCAAAGCACTACAGCTAAGAATCTCCCTGAGCACATGTGCTTGCTTAACTTCATAAATCTTCATGAGCTGAGTTGTATGACTTTGAGTTCAACAGGGAAAGTCCAAGGGTAATAGCACATGGTATACAGCACATCTACTTGTACATCTAGAGTTTAGGGTTAAATGTATATGTGTGCTAGCTTACTGCATTGCCTAGTTGTGATTCATTGTACTTTGTTTTTATTGTGTTTTAGCTATAACAATGACTTTTAGTCAGCTTAGCTACCTACAGGTACATGCATTACATGTGAATAACACAGGCATGCAGACATAGGGAACTGGCTGGTTAGCTAAATCCCAGGTAGCTTACACTTTTGTTCCCAGGCTCCTAGCCAATGTGTGGGCTAAATGGAAATGCCCTGTTTGCTTTTCTTTTGGGAAGCCTCCAATGGTTGAACAACAGGTCGATGTCAATTATACTCCAGTTGCTCTGGACCTCTGTTTGCAAAACCAATGCTCATTTGTAGCCTTTTTCTTTTGTGCATTGCCCATGAAATTCCTCTTAGTGCTTGCCTCAGTAGAACAGTTGAATGACCACCTCAGGGGGGCAAGAAGAATTAGCTTTAGCTTTTATACTCTGACAATGCAAAGACAGGATCATAAATGTGTCACTAGTGCCTATTCAGCTTCTTTAAATATAAACATATCCCATAATATAGCAATTCATGTTGCTTGTTCTGTGTTTTCTTCTATAGCCTTAAATCTCACATCATCAGTCTTTCATGGTTTCATTTGGCTCTTCTCTTTCACCCACAAAGAGGTCCCAGAAAACCTCCCCAGAAGCTGCAGACAAGCTTGTTGTTAGCAGTGACAGTGACTTCCAGCCACATGCCTCTGCGCTGATGATGTTTTAATGTCATCCCGTTTCTGTTCTTCCCTCTTTACTCAAGTTATGGGCATTGAATATTTACCCCTGTGAGAATCGATTACTGCTCTGTTGACGGTTGCCGCAGAGTATAACCTCTCATTAGAGCCGACATATGCTGCGCCTGGCGTTGCTGCCGATGCAAGCTGTTTTTTCAATGACATCTCCCAGTGTTCCCATGGCGTTGTGAGCAAGATCTTACAACACTGCCTTGAAGTGAAAGTTGTGGGGAAAGAACTGCTATTATGTTGGATGGCAGATAGTACAAACTTAGAGATGTGGCAGTGTAATTGCTGGTTGGAACATAATACACATATATATCCATATATGGGGCTGAACATACAGAGTTCAAATTTGTCCTTTTTAAGTTTTGATAAAGTAAAGGCCATAGCCTCCAGTACAACTGGCCGATTGGTTGCTCGGTATACTTGTCCAAGTTCTATTGGTATTTGCCACTACTACCTTTGTAAGGAGTAAAGGAGCAAGTGAGCATCTGTGGAAAAACAAGTCACTATTTGGCCTACCCTGACAGAGATGGCTGTGTTTTTATTCAAAGTGATGGACAGAAGGTTGAGTGTAAACGCTTTGTCGTATGCTTTGTTTCATATTGTGACACATTTTTTTTCTGCTGGCAGTGTCAAGACTGCACGAAGACTGGTTCAACCCCCAGACTGCTACGATAGCAGCGTGCTCATATAATACATGCAGTGGTTATGTGGTTTAGTATTCTCTTGCTGAAATATACAACACTTTACCTGAAAAATATTTTGTCTGGATGGGAGCACATGCTGTATAAATCCCTCAGCATTGATGATGCCTTTCCAGATATGCCCAAATGTGCTACTGATCTTGCCTGAGCTTGCCATTCAAAACAAGCTAATATTTTTCTTAAAATCATACATTTTCTCAGTTCAAACACTTGATATGTTTTCTATGTTCTACTGTAAATAAAATTTGGGTTTATAAGATTTTCAAGTCTTTGTCTTTTGTTTTTATATACATTTTATACAGTGTTTGGACTTTGGCTCTGTTCAGAAACAGTCCATCCAGCCATCACTATTATTATGCAATACAGGGTTGCGGAGCTGTCTTGGGGCAGGAGGCAGGGTAAATTGTGGACAGTTTGCCAATCTGTTGCTCGGCTAATGTACAGAGACCGATAACCATACAGTCTCAAGGGCCATTTAAAATTACCAGTTAACCTAACATGGATGTCTTTGAGCTGTGTGAGGAAGGCAGAGTATCTGGGGAGAAGTTATTAGGAACTATTAGAACTATTAGGAGACAGTACTAACTATCACACCATTATTGTATGAAGAGTAATTGTTATATTATTATTGATTATTGATGGTAAACGTGTAACCTGTAAGAGGCAGGATCTTAACAACACCGACGAGCAAAGAACGCTCCACCTGTGAATTTGTACTAGAAAATGACCTAAATAAGACTCAGTATAGCTACAGCAGTATCAGTCAGAACACTTGTTATTATATTATCTTTAGTTGAGCTTGTCTGTTTCAAAATGTTCAGTCACGGCTGTTCTTTTTAGCTCTGACTACATTTCGTCTGTAAATCTGAATAATTGCAAATTGAATATGGGAGGTATTTGCTCTATGGGGACATGAAGTGGGATTTTTTTTTTTGTTCCAGAGACTGGACTGAAATCAATTTGGAGTTGTATCAAAGCATTGGAGCGTATGAAAAAGGAATTCAAGCTTGAACTGGAAATTCATCATGAACAATGTCCATATTTGGATTGCTTTTAGACTGGGGACTGCGTCTTTAACCGCAATGCAGATTCTACAGTATCACGGTGGGAGGGAACTTGGGTGAACATGATAGAATATG